GGTTGGGTAAATATCGCGACGCTAGCAATCGAGTTGCAGAAGATGCGTGGTGAAGAGCAAGGTCTAATGATATCGGCACTTTCTTCTTAACTTCCCACGATCATGAGATTAGTCTTAAAAAGCTTGGCTCTCAAATCTGCAGCAAGCAGAATGAATAAGCGTTGCGCCATTTTGACGAATTCTTGAGTGAATTTAAGACTTTTGCCGGGTTGTGAGCCATAACTTATCTCCTCAAGAAAACGGAGCGCCACTAAAGATATTCAAAAGAATAAGTTATTAGAAGTTTGATCTCCTCTTTTATTTAAACTGAAGCTTTTGTCGCTTCTGAGTGCAGGTTTATTGCTCCTTAAAGCCAAGGTATGACTCCTTGCACTTCAGGGAAGCTGATTATGGCTCAATATGCCAAGATTATTGTTGAGAGACGGAACTAAATCACAAATAGTTCTCTATGGAAGCCCCTCCGGCAGACCTTACTCTTTGTCTAATCCAGTTCTTCTTCAAATTGGAACTTAAAGATCTCTAAATACGGATTTCGCCAGAGTTTTCTGAGCCAATAGAGATGGGAAAGTCTTCAAATGCCGATCTACAACAATTCACGTCAACAAAAGCAAATTAAACTCACAATTATTGCAAATACTTGTCGCACACCCTCGAGGAGTGCTCAGATGCCCTCATAGATTCCTGGGTGTTAATATCAACCTTCGGCATCTACGAGTGGCAGATATTTCTAGAAGACTGCCGACATGAGATCGTAAATTATTTTTGGACATTCACAAATATATAAATACCAAAATATACATATATATTTAACGAACAACAACTACGACTTGCGACTTGAGTCGGCGGCATAAGCACACACACACACACATACACACGCAGTGAGATCGCTGCAATTATATGTTCACAGCGGGCGTCACACTTTTACCACCTAAGATGAGAATCAGGACGATCGGATTCCTGCATTCACAACAACAACAACAACAATCAGTGCTAAATATCTATGTATGTACGCATCGACTTCACTACTGGTCCAACGCTTGCAGTGTGTGCGGCATCCACAGCACATTCGAGTGCATTGTACTTGTAATAAAATCATCAATTAGTTATCTGTAGTGTCGACAGGTCCTTTGGATGCTCATGCGGCGCGTGATAATAGAATGTCAACGGCGTGGTAGTTGAAGAAAAGGAAAAAAGAAAACGTAGAAAAAATGGAAGATAGATGCACGTAATTGATCGTCTCTAAGATTTCAGTCTCTGCGGCATTAACAAATGCGTGTGTATGTGTGTGTGTGTGTGTTTGCTCGCTCTATGGATCTTCCTGCTTCCTGTGGCGCACCAACATGTACTTCTTGGCTCAGATTTACTCGCTTATGCACTTTACTCTTGTGTTTGGTTTGTCATTTTGTCAACGCTGTTGTTGGACACACGCACATACACACACCGATCTATACAGTAGCTGTTTGGAAGGTGTTTTTCTTGTTCTTTTTTTTTTTGCTGTTTTTTCTATCTTTTTTCTCTTCCAATGAGTTATTGTTGGCCCACCAACTTTGCTATTTTTATAGAAATTAAATTTATGTGTCAGTTTCTTCTCTACTCTCATTTATTGTTGTTATTGTTGTGCTCTATCTGTAAGTTGTCTCCTTTTGTAGGAGAACTAAAAGAAGGCCGCCCAAAGATTGCCAATTGTTGATTGCCACTTTTGGTGTTTGCATTGATTTATGCCTTTTTGATAGTTCAACTTCCTTGGCGGCTTCTCTGGGTGAGTATACACACACTTGTATGTATATATGTATGTGTCTATGCGAAAAATCTTTTGACTTCACTTTTCTTTTTAATCGTTGCAATTCTACGTGTGTGGCATGGTCTCTGTGGTTAAAGTGACAAGTTCATGAAATGCCCGGTAGCAATTTTCGCCGCTGAGCGGGTGATCGATCGATCTATTTCAGGGGACACTTGATGCCACTTGTAGATATATGTAAGAGGGAATACATTCAGAAATGTAAATTTAGAAAAATTAATCCCATTTAGAGAGATGTTGCTTTCTCTAAGAACCCATGTTGTAAGCAGTAATACGGTACCTTTTATACTGTTACGATTTAGCCAGCTTAAGGCTATTTCGGAGTGTATGCCTCCTCCTTACGCCATTTGGAAACGTTGAAAAATATATCAGGCAAGAAACCTACAATAAAAAGAGAGTTAGCTTTTCAAGAGCCCTACCACTATTTTACGTTTTACGTGCTCACTGAAGTAATGCGCAGTCAGATTGTGAGCTATGCTTAATACCAGACACATAATCAACAGCAGCCCTGTCCACGTTAAGGTTACGACGTCGCAATTGTTGGCTGCTAATATTTACTCGGAGACTCCAGCGCCAAGTACAGACATTCTGCTTAGTAAAATAGTCTCTAGAAACTAACCGCAACAAGGAACAAGAACAGCAAGATCCTCAAAGTGTCGCTGATCTGCACCGATGCCACAACGGCAGATACAGACGATGTGGCCAAAGATGCGCCACTCTATGAGCGCCTTGAGCAATCCCATGTGCGTGGCCCACGCCGGGATGGCAAAATCGTGCTACGTAAATTTATTTTCCACGGACTTTAAACTGATCAACATCACCGAGATGCTAAAATCAACTTCGACTGCAGTCAAGATATGCAATCGACTCCATGCAGCAGCGAAGGCCCATCAACAAACACTTTTAAACACAAATCCAATACAGATTTGCCCTCAAAGACTTTGTAAGACAGTATTAGAGAAATGATTGGTTTCGAAGTTTCGAAAGAAGGATTGGTACGTTGAGGTTTGTCGAGATGCTTTAGAGAGAAAAACTGCTGTTTGCCCGAACCGTTTGTTGCTGAACGGATATTCTGATAAGAGAAGGTGAAGAGCTAAAAAAAGGAAGATACAACTGCTGTCGGATGCTGCTGATGCTGACCTCATTGGTCTCTGCTTTCTCTACGTTGGACGAAGAAGCGAAGGGAAGGCTGTCTGATGTGACGAGGAACGAGGACTAGACGTAATATTTTCTGACATTGCATTCGCTTATTGGCTCCTTTGCCACTGTTGGCAGTCATAAGTCCTAAGTAGTAGAGAATTTGCTCTCATCTAGGAACCAGCTCAGACACATATAACAACGTCGGCCTGGAAATCCAACTCAGAATCATGCTTGCAAACAGTTGCTATATTAAACTGAACAGGGAATTGAAAAGGAAAGTTCACTCTCGACGAATAGGTACCAAACTCTACAAGTCACGCATCATTCCCGCGTTGATATATGGTGCCAAGGTTCTGAAACATGAAAACATCTTTTGAGTTAGCCTTAGAAGCCCCCCTGAGTACGATTTACTGAGAAGGGCAGATTGTGAAGCTAACTTTCGAACCGCGATAGCCGAGTGGTTATAATTACATATATAATTGGCGCTTTGTATCCGTTCAAGCGATTTTCGGCCGAGCTTCTCCTCCAATGTTTTTTATGAGGAGCTTTATTTCATGTCAGAAATACATTCAGAGGGGTTGACATTCCCTGTCGTGGTTCGACCACAATTACAAAATTTAGCTTAATATTGGATGAGTGCATAAGTTCGTGCCCGATTTCGCTGGATGCCGTTCGAATCGTTTGAGAGTGGCGCTCGTGAAAGAAATATATACACATTATATATCGTTGGAAAGGTGACAGTCCGAACTGTAAATAAAGCATAAAATAACTTCATTTTGATTTGAGTTGCTTAGTGAAAAGACGCATGGAAGATGGGCAACGAAAAAGATCATATGCGTCATATTATGTTATACGAATTCCGCAAAGGAAAAACAGTAGGCCCTGCAACTAAAGATATTCGCGAAGTTTATTTGCACGAACTTATGCACTCATCCTATATTTTACTAAAAATAAATTTTCTATGATTTTTTCGATGTTAGCATGACACCAGGATATGAACCCGAGCCTTCCGAATGACAGTACGTAATGCTAACCGCGGCCGGCAATTATCATTGCGTACGGAAATTAGCAAAACAGGGTTCGAGTTATGGTCCGACCAACCTTCAAAAATTATAGAAAATAAATTTAAATAAATCATACGCCATGGATAGGAACAGATGGTAAGCACTTGGTGGGAAGTCCGCACTATAAGATTGATATTAAGCTCTCGGAGCTTCTGGCAAGTCACTATCGATGTGTGTGGTCTGTTGTTGTCCTCATGAAACCTACAGCCTCTCTTGTTGGCCAAAGTTGGATGCTTCTGAGTGATTGTTCCTTTTGACAGTACAAGTCAGAATTAAAATTTTGGCTGTATGTGAGCAGTTAATAGTGGAAGATTCCTTGTCCATATCATTAAACATACAACAAAACTTGCTTGGAGACCCTTTGAGCCGATTCACTACACAGTTAAGTGATCAACACTTCTCTCATTGTCTTTCTTTGTACAAAACATCATCTTTCTAAGGCCGTCTAGTGCAATGCAATCGCTCTTATGGAACGCGAGATACAGATCACCAAAGCCATTTATTGTAAAAATAATAGAGGACTTATTTCTTGATCTAATATTGCATATATATAATACATATAGTTTTCAGATAACTTTATGTCCCGTCCGATTTGTTTGATTTCTTGCATGGTAGTTGTAATGAAAGAATAGAACTTACAAAATAAGAGGCTTAGTCAAAGTAAAAAAAGAAAGCTCGAGTTCGTACGAATGTCCCGTGCGACAGAATAAAATAGTAAGCAGAACACAACGAGGCGCAAAAAAAGTGCGAAATTTTCTGAGACTTAAAAACCCTGAGAAAAATCATCTTAAGTCATACTTCACTATCAATTCTGGGACTTGGGGAAAAAGAATTAAATTTTTTAAAATTTATTTCAAGAATTTATTTATTAATTAAGTCATAAAAATTTTAATAACTAAGCACCACTTATAATTACGCCCTAAATTAATATTTATAAAAACAATACAACGAACTTAAAATGATAATAATACAATACATACATACATATATACGTAAAAATTACTCAGTCTTGAGCTCTTAAATTTCATGGAAATTTTACAAAATATTTCAAAATAATTAAATAAATTTTATAGATTCAACTGGTTTAGTGGTCCTTGAGTTCGCTTATTCCAATTACAAAGAACAAATAATAAAAACAAATATCAGAAATTTAAGTAAATATTTTACAGTCTTTTCTATAAAAAAAATTTTGATTTAAAGTTTACATTTCTACGTAAGAAATAGTTTCGACAACCTAAAACCCGAAATACGGATACGCCGTTGCCGCTGACGCCGCCGACTTGTGTTCGCCCATCGCCTGCGTGTAGCCGCCCATATGATTGGCGCTCGAAGAGAAGAATGTGCCGGGGAAGTTGTATGAGTCCCATGAGGACATTGCTGGATGGTGTGAGCCCGAGGCGGCAGCCGAAGCGAATTGTGAGCGCAGCTGCTCAGCCGAGGTGGCCGTGGGGAAGTTACTGCTAGCGGCGCTTAAGCCATAAGCCGCCGATGAGGCTGTAGCATAAGCGGCTGAAGTGGACGATGCGGTAGCAGCTGAAGAGCTATTGTGCACAGATGTAGAGGCTGTGGAACTTGCTGCTGTGGCCGATGGCATGCCATAGCTGGCGTTAATGTTGTAATTATTATTCTCGTTATTGTTGTTGCTGCTGCTGTTGCCACCCAAATTAGCTGCCGCCGCCTGGTGATGCGCTGGACTCAAGGAAGCTGAACTGCTGGTGCTGCTTGAAGGCGACATTGAGGCGACAGAGCCACTGGAGGGCGCAAAGCTTGCTTGTTGTTGTTGCTGTTCAAAGATATTACCCGCAGCAGTGGCAGCGGCAACCGCCTGAGTGGCGGCGCTACCCCCAAACGTATTCCAAGCTTGGCCGTACAAACCCATTTGATGCGAATGATTGACATGCGACATGGCGGCGGAGTGTGCGGCGGACATGGCGGCAGCGGCAGCAGCACTCGAGTGATGATGATGATGGTGAGCATGATGCTGATGTGAGTGATATTGTGGGGTGACACCAGCGAAACCCGCCGTGCTCAAACCACTCGTAGCACCCGCTGTGGCAGCGGCAAAGCTCGAGACCTGCTGTGTGGTATTCAGCTGTTTGCGTAGACGAGCGCGTCTATTGGAGAACCAAACCTGCACACGTGCCTCCGTCAAGCCGGTGCTCTGCGCAAGCTCTTCACGCGTATACACATCCGGATATTGTGTGCGTGCGAAGATGCGTTCCAAGGCGTCGATTTGAACATTTGAGAAAGTGGTGCGCGAACGACGTTGCTTACGCTTCAACTGCACGCCCGGCTCGGCATCATCATCGCTATCATCACCGGAGCCATTCGATAAACCGCCAGCACCCAGTATGCCATCTATCGAATGTGGTGAGCTGCCGGATTCAGAGCGTGCGCCGCCGCCGCCTCGCAACAAACGACTGATGGAGCTTACGGAAGGTGCGGTATTCTTATCGCACATGCCGCACTCTATAAGTTTAGCACGTATTTCCCAACTGAAAATGCCCGGATTGGCATTTTTCATTTCTTCAATTTTAGACTCGATGTCGGGTGTGGCCACACGCGGCTTGCTGCCGCCAATTACACCCGGACGTATGGAACCGGTTTCCTGATAACGGTTGAGTATCTTCGAGACGCAACCATGTGAGACGCGCAGTTGACGTGAGATGACGCACGGGCGTACGCCGGCTGCGGCCATTTCGACAATTTGACGACGTATATGATTGGGTAGCGGACGACCGTTGATGAAAACGCCGCCAAGTTGATTGACGCGGCCTTGTCCTGAAAGAAATAGAGAGAAGAGAGAGAAATTAGTAAGTGTTGAAGAGACATTGTTATGTGATAAGTTCAATTATTGTTTAATGAGTGTGGTGAGATGGGTGTGTTTCTAATTAAGTATGGTTAGTTTCCTTGTTGTTAAAGCAATTGTTTTAAAAATTACGACGATGCTTAAAATATTTATGCATAGTTTTAGTGTGGTGAATTTCGTATCGCTTTTGTAAGTGTGGAGAGTTTTTTAAAGTAATTTTAAGCCATTTTCAGTAATATCGAGGTTTGGCACTCACAAAATTCACACTAGGCCTTTCCGTCATACGTCCGCGTCGGCGCGTGTGTGGCCTGGCGCTGATCGTGCCGCTGGCATTCAAATAAAGATTTTTCAAAGACAATAAAAACTAAAGTGCACAACTCAATTTGCATTGTCTTCACCAACAATTAGCCATATGTTTGGGCCAACAATGCCGGCTTTGCTATTCAAATTGGATTTAAGTGATCTTCACTCGCCTCAACGAATTTGGAGGATCTCACCAAAGAGTACTCAATTACCAACAAACAATTGTGGCAACTCAATTACTGCTTTCAAACTAGAGCATAACGGTATAGTAATGACAAGACGAGACACATAATTTTTGCTAGACAAAATGTCTGGAGATTTTCGCTTGCCATAATAAAATTTTTACTGTTATAACTGTGCAGATTTTTATTATTTTTCTTGGGCATTTCTATGAGCATTCATTTTAGTACTCACTTGTGCCATTGTATTGCTGTTGGGATTATTTTAAGCGCACTTGAGTGCCATTATGTGTGGGTAAGTGTGTGTGTGCAAAGAGAGAGTGAACCGAGCTGAGATCAGTTCGCACGATCGCATTTGAATGCGAAATTTTTGTATTGTGGAATAATAATATTTGAATAATTTGTTAAACAAACAATAAAATCAAGACAAAACACCAACAACAGCAAAATTAGAAAAAAATAACATGAAAGCCGCAAACAAAAAGCCAATTGTTGTGGTGATTTTGTTTCTTTGTTGCAAGTAGTGTTTATGCAACGTGCCACAAGATGTGGAAAATATGCAAAAAAGTATAAAAAAAAAACAACTTAATTGCATAGAAATAATGTAGATTATTTAAATCGGCAGGCATAAGCATTTGGCCAGCTGCATGGCGGCGACTTGAGTACAAAAGCAGAAAAAAATTAGATAAAATTAATGAGAAAGGCATAAACTGAAAAAGATAATCAAATATGAAAACGCAAAGATAAAAGTAACAGTTATGAAATTAAAAAAAACAGTTAAAAAATTAAATTATAAAAAACTTCGAAATCCTCAAAAACTTAAATTAAAATTTTAGAAATTTTTATTTTTAAAAAATAAAATATAAAAAAATAAATTGTAAAAAAATGTAAGTAACACAATTAAATATATAAACTTATTTATGTAAAAAAATAAGAAATATAAAATGAAAAATGGTAATAATATTTTAAAATTAAATTATATATATATATATATATATATATTATATATAATATTTGAATATATATATATATATATATATATATATAAAACGGACGAGATTTGAAAAAATCAAAAAAAAAAGTAAATTCAAAAAATTTAAATAAAATGAAAAAGATTTAAAAATTGAGAAAATTACGGAAAAAAATTATATTAGGAAAATTAAGAAAATGAAAATAAATAGAAAATAAAAATTATGGAAATTGAGATAATTAAAAAGAGGAAAATAAAAAAGATAAAAGAAAGGACAAGCAAATAAAAAAAAATATGTAAAAACCAAAACTAAAAAAATAATTAGGTTCGTTTAAGGCAATCCAAAAATAAATAAAAATAAAGAAAAAAAATTAGAAAAGTATTTAACATCTTCCAAAAGTAAAGTATAAGACAGCCGGCGGCCACAGTGATTATGCCAGAGGATCACAGTCAAATCAGCTGACTTCGCCTGATCGTCTGATCGCCTGCCACGTTTTTGAAGCGAAGACTTTTAGACTACATAACTATATTTTATATACATACATACATATATACAAGTAAGGTGGGTCTAATAACTCAACTGGAAGCATGACAGACAAGCAGCAACCACAATAAGCTAGCGAGGGCAACTAATAAGCCGACCAAAATGAACGCGAACACTCAACATATGTACACCGAGCAGACGCTAGTGATGAAGATCAGCAAAGCAAAAGAAAAATAAAAAAAATTTGAAGAAAATTAAAGCAATGCGTCGGTACATTTTGTTCTTTAACACTTTCGAAAACTCCAGCTGTGCGAGCTAATAAAATTCCAAAGGAGTAGGTAGAAGAAGAAGCAACAGCAGCATCAGCAGCAGAACCAACGAAAAATGTTTGAAGGCAAAAATATTAATAATAAATAAATGAAGAAGAAAAAATTAAAAAAAAAAATTAAATCTAAGCAAAGCAATGCGGAAAAATATGTGTGCGCGCATGCGCGAACAACACGTTGCGCCCAAAGTGCTAGCGGACAAACATACACGCATATATACTCGTATGTATGGATCTATATATATATATGTAGAGAGGACGCAGATCAGTAAGCTCGTATGCAGGCTGCTGATGATGATGATGATGATGAACGTGCTGTGCTGCCAACACACACCCAACCACGATACGATAGGCCACCACCAAAGCGGGTTGGAGATCATGCAAGCAACACTACAACACTATATAGCAAGTGTCGGTATCGGTGTCGGTGTCGGTGTCGGTGTCAGCGGCGGTGACGGTGGCGGCGGCGGCAACATCATAAGATCAAAGGCAAATGCCGACGCGCCAAAACGTCTGCGTTGTACGCAAAAGAACAAAGCGCAGCAGGCAAAATGGGAAGTGGAAGCAACAGAAAGTTAGCTGGCTGTAAGCTACATAGAAGAGGTGAGGAGGCGGCAGATTGTGGTACAGAGACTGTTGTGTGTGTGCACTGGCAGACGAAAACGTAGAACGGCAGCCAGCACAGCTGTGCGCCGCAAATTGTGCTGAGCTGCCACTACTGATTTCTTCCTTTTTTCGCGCTTCAGTGAGCGACATCCACTGGCTTCTTATTTATACTTTTTTCTGCGCTCTTCTTCGCTGCTCCCTTTTGTTGTTGCTGTTTTCATTGCGATCGCAATCAATAAGCCACAAAGCTGATCATGATTATTGGAATTTTTACTCGGTTCTTCTTGTTGTTTGTTTTTGTTGTGGTTGTTGTTGTTGCGCTTGACCAGCAGACACGCACACCCACCGTTGTAAGCAGACCGCACCATATACATGCATGCAGACATACATACATAAGAGTATGTTTGTAGCACAGAAAGCGCGCTAAAGACTGACATCCAGCTGTACGGTTTGACTGAGTGATCGTCAATCAGAGTTGGCGGCGTGTAGCTGGTGTAATCGAGAATACTTGTTGTGAGAAACTTGTGTACGTAGATACAAAAATATATAAATATTTCTGATTTTCTCTTTCTTTTTTTTCTTTTTTTTTTGTGTCTGAATTGGAGCGCATTTGCTGAGTTTGATTTTCTTTTACTTTTTTTTATTTATTTTTTTTTTCTTTCTTAGTTTTTTTCTGTTTTTTTTTTTTTTTGTTTAATGAAAATTAAACCGCTTTTAAGCAGCTCACTCGTCTACTTTCTTGAATGGCGCAAGCAATGAGTTGACTAAAAATTATTTTCTTTAACAATAATATTCTTCATTGTTGCTGTTTTGTTATGTTTATTTTTTGTACATTCACTTGTACGGCATGAGTTTGTAAAAAGTGTAATAAATAATGAAAATTAGTTTAAAAATTGTTTATAATTGGAAATCGATGTACAGAGCAGACCGTTTGGCGCTCTAGTGATGCTTGTACATATGTATGTATATAAAATTGTATAAAATTGAACATATTTATAAGAGCTGGCTGTATCAGTTTTAGAATTGAAAAAAGCGGCTTGTGGGTGAGAAATTATCGACCGAATGCGCCAAAATATGAAAAAGAAAATAAATAAAAAAAAAAAAATACCAAACAAAAATATTTCATACAATAACTTTTTTTATGATAGAAAACACATAAAAATTATATTAAAAATATTTCTCAAATATTTCGTATCGAATTGGAGAATACGAAAGAAAATTCTGATAAATATATTTCGAACTGTAAACGTAACGTAAACGAATTTTTTTTCCAAAAAAAAAAAAGTATTATAATTTTCTTAAAGCACCACGCGAGGTATTATTTTCGAAAAAGAAAAATATTGTGTCCAAAAAATGTTGACGGTTTTTTGAAAAATAATATAAGCCACATAATTTTCACCCAACATTTCCGAATATGAAAAAGAGAGAAGATATTAACACAAATAAATAAATACATATATAATATATAATTTTGTTTTTTTGAAAAAAAAAATTGATGCTTTTCTTTTAAGCTTCCTGAGAAGCAAAGTCCGAAATATTCAAAGAAAGTAAACTTCTTCTTTTTGTAAAATTTTGAAAAGTAACACGTTTGCATATACAAAAATTTTGTTTTGAAATTCAAAGGAAGTATTTTGATATATTAAGTGCAAGAGAAACTTAAAAAATTTTTTATTTATTTGTAAAATAATACAAATAAAAAAAAATGATCTTAAAGGACTTCTCAAATATTCAAGCAAAAATTAAAAAAATATAAAGTGAAAAATTAAATAAAACAATTAGCGTTTTTTTTTTAAATATTTCAAGTTATTAAATAAATTAATTCAATTAAATTTGATTTAACTGCTAATTTCCAAATTTTTATATATAATTATATAAGAAAAATTCTTTATTTATTTATTTATTATTTTTTTAATGGTTTTGTTATGCTTTTTAAATTTTAAATTAATTTAAATTAATTTTTATTTTTTATTTATTTTTTTGCTAATTATTTTATAATATTCCTATTGAAATATATCATATTTTATTTTTAGTTATTTCAGACTTGTAGTTATTGTTTTTAAATATTTCTTTCTTTTAATATTTTTCAAAATCTTTCCAAAGAATTATTAAACAAGAGTTTCCTTTGAATGAATAAATAATATTATTTTAAATATTTTCTCTATTTTGTAAATATTTTTGCTGGTATTTTTTAATTATTTTGGGTAAGAAATAAAAAAATGATTTTCATTTGAATTATTTTTAACATTTTTTTAAGTATTTTTCACCATTTAATAAATAAAAGTTACGTTTTGAGTTGAAAAGATGTGTTTTGTTATAAGTTATTATACATTATGTATTTAAAATTAGTTAACAGATTTTTTTATCTGCTATTTATATATATGTTATATTAGTATTTTTCCATCAACTAATGAATTATATAATAAAGAGGAACAAATCTTATATAATTTATAGTAAAAATTTATAAAACAAACTCTGATAATTACCTTGAAAGGGATATCCAGCAAAATATGGTGTCATATTCAATGTTGAAACGGTCATTTTGTTTTTAACTTAGTTTTTTTTTCAAGTAACTAGTTTTAATTTCCAAAAATCGCTGACTTTTTCTCGAAAAATGTCCACTATTTGATAGATTTTCGAAGACACGCTTAACAGTTTATGCTTTATTTATTGAGTTTATATATTAATTTTGATACTTTGCACAAGTTTATTTTTGTTTAGTTTTCTCATAGAAATGTCACTTATTTTGCAGTTTTCCCCACTCTTCACACTTTTCGTCTAATCGTTTTTTCAAATTAATTTGGCAAATTAAACTCTCGTCACATTAAAAAAAGCCGAGAAATGTTTGTTTAGATCAGTTAAATGCATGGCATTTTCCGTAAAATTTTGTTTTTGTTGTTTTCAACGTATGGTCTTATTAAGTTTCTGTTTTCTCCAATGCCTACTTGAGAGCGCTTGCGTAAAATCTCAAATGCTGAAGTCTCTCTACTGAAAGTTATGTGCGACTCATTCGATTGCCAGCTTGAAACTGATTTTGAAACGGTCACTGCGAGCACCAGCACACTTTCTTGAGATTCTCCAAATAGCAACAGGAGACCCAGAAGCAGTGACTGTTTGTTACTCACGCTGTGTGTTGGTGTTGTAGCCGAAAAAAACAGGTAAACAGCCAGCCAGTCATAAAGAAAAAAGAAAAAAGCAAAAGCAACAACACGGGAGAGCACTGTTTGCAAAGAGTAAGTGAGAGCGTGAGTTTAGTACGCGAATGAGCAAGCGAGCGAGCGAACCAACGCTTACTTGTGCGTTGTTGTGTTAACAACAATAAGAAAAACACATCATGCCAATAACAAAAACAAACACAACGTAGAAAATCCACCCTGAAATGCATTCGTTGCAGTGCGCTCAGCTCGAATGATGTGTTGTTTTTGCTGCTGCTGATCACAGCACCCACCCACTGCGTAACGTAACGGCGCATTGTGCGCACAATAGCATATTTGTTAGTGTGCATGAAAAACAAAACAAATACATGAATGCGCTCAACAGCCAATTAATGTGTGGTTTGTTGGTTGAATCTAGAGTTTGTTGCTACGCTCTTGTACGGGAAAGAGCGCGCATGATCATTTGTGTACGCGCTGCTCACGCCACAATGGCTGCCTTTCAGCGGCGATCTGGCTGTAGGCCACGCCTCTTTTTCGTTATTTTAGTTGTGTGTGGGATTGTATATATGGATTTTGTGTATTTGTAATTTCCTAAACATTCAGCAGCAGGCAAGCTGGTGGCTTTAACTATTTTTTATTGCCTTTTCCAATATTTTTTCTGCACTTAGCCACACATATAGTAGTTGTGGTTCCCTGTTTTTCCCTGTTTTTTTTTTGCGCTGAAAAGGCATTCTCATTTGCATTTTGCCGGCAAATCTAGTAAGAGCAAAAGGAAAAAAATAAAGAAAAAAGCACAAACTTCACTTAGAAATCATGCCCAGCTACCAAGCCACAAACAATACCACTACTAACTTCATATAACAAAAAAAAAAAAAAAAAAAAAAANAAAAAAATAAAGAAAAAAGCACAAACTTCACTTAGAAATCATGCTCAGCTACCGAGCCACAAACAAAATTAACTTCATATAAAAAAAAGAAAGAAAATATGATAAAAATAAAACTAAATAAATCCCCACAACTGACCTCTCGCTGCGCTCTTCGCTAATCGCTGCATCTTACATCGGCGTGTTGGCTAGTTTAGCGAGAGGAAAATTGTGAAAAATCTTTTCCTATTCAATTCGCTACAGTTGCTTAACGTTTTGCTCGGGCCTTTTGATGTTGAGCCGCCAATATTTTGATTTGATTTTAATATTCCATTTTGCCTGTAATTTATCGTCTCACTGTTCGCTGCTTTGATTGATGTTTTCTCTTTGTTATGCTTACTTCTTTTATTTATTTTAGCTTTTTTCTATCTACTATCTTTATGATCGTTATGAATATTGCAATCTATTCTGATTAGCTACCGCTTAGAGTTGGACATACATACAAGTACAAACATACATTTAACTAGTCTTGATTTCGTTCATGCGCATTAATTTTTATGGTGATCTGTTATAGTGGCTCCTTGGGATAATTATATCCTTGCGCTTATTAACAGCGTACCATATGGAATATATTTTTGAGTGTAAAAACGATTATTTATTTTATTTTATTTCATATTTTTTTTTCAAATTTATTTTATTTTGTTCTATTTTATATTATTTTAATTTATTTTATTTAATTTAGTTTATTTTATTTCATTTTATTTTATTCTGTTTGAATTCATTTTACTTTATTCTATTTCATTTCATTTAATGTTATTTTATTTTATTTTATTTTATTTTATTTTATTTTATTTTATTTTATTATATTTTATTGTATTTTATTTAATTATTTTAATTTTTTTAATTCATTTCATATTTTTAAATTTTATTGTATTTTATTTTAAATTACAAATTATTCTATTATTTGTACATTAAAATTTTATTTTTATTTTATTTTTTTTTTATGTTGCTAATTTGTTTAATTTTATTTTAGTTTATTTTATTTCATTTAATTATTTTATTTTATTTTTTATTCATTTATTTATTTATTAGTATTTATTTTATTGTATATTATTTTAAATGATTTTATTTTATATTTATTAATTTTATTTTTTGTGTTCTTTTATTTTATTTTAATTTATTTAATTTCAGTCTTCTTTTTTAATTTGTCTTATTGCATCTTAGTTTGTATATATTTTTAATTTTATTTTACTGCGCTTTATTTTTATTTCATTTCATTTCATTTTAAAATATTTTATTTTATTTTGTTTTATTTATAATAATATTAATTTGATTTAATTTTTTCCATTTTAAATTTTTGGTCTATTTAGCTTTTTATTTAAGTTAATTTATATTTTTATTTTTTTTTTTTAAATGTTTATAATATTATGTGTTTTTTACATAATTTTTTTTTTGATTTTAAGTAACTTTGCTTTATTTTATTTGATATAGTATGTTTTATTGTTTTTATTTATTTTATTTATTCATATATTATTATTTTTTTTTGTGTTTAAGAATATTTAAATATGTATTTAAGTAAATAAAATTAAGTGGAAATTAATAAAAAGTTTGCATACTAAAAGCATAAATAGCGTAAAAATTATTCGAAATTTTGAAAGTTTTGTCGATTACAACTGTAATTTAGTTGCATGAACAATTATGTTTAATTTAATTATCGGATAACATGACGATTAAAGCGTAAAAATGGAAAAAACACAGAAAATAATTATACTTACTTGCGGTGACATCAAATAGCAGTATCTAGTTAACAACAGTACATACTGTTAGTACGAACTTCTACAAAATCAAATGTCTTTAACGGTGCAACGTGCATAGCTTTTCCGTGATGAGGATTGTCTATTATAAACCGAAAAAGAAAATTAAATACGTAAAAAGTTTCCAATTTGAAATTAAACACTTTGACTTGTGCCGCCAAATGTGGCACGCGATGTGTTGAGGTGTGTATTTATTGTTGTTTCTCCGCAGCTTAAAACGGCATAGCGTACGCGGCAACAGTTAGCGACAGTCACATTTACTTAACAATAGTTTTTGTTGTACATACATGCAAACATATATAGAAATGTTTATGCTTGTTGTCAGCCTACCTTGCATTCTGGCCACATCATTGCCGTTAAATCAACAAAAATGAAATTGTAGCAAATCAATTTTCATTAGTAGATAGCAAAGAAAAAGAAGTAGAAAAAAAACCGCATGGAAAAGTAGCAAGCGACTCAACGCGCAACCCCAACAGCGATGACGGTTGGTAGGTAAAAAAGGCAGGCGGACGGTAGCAAAGCGAATAAAGTCAGTTTAACGGGCGGCAGTTCGTTAGTACTTTTTTTTGCTTATTTGGCTTAACAGCAACAAATTCATTTTAATTGGAGGGAAAATGCAGTCAAACGGCGCATATGCAACTAAGCAGCGCGAATGCATACCTAGACAAATACAACATCGTACATATGTATATACATGCACACATGTGCTCAAGAGTGGCGAAAATTGTACTTTGTTGTTGCTTTTTTGGTAGCAAGCGAAAATTTCTTTAATCCCACTTAGAAGCCGTTCACTTTGTTTGGCCGCTAAGCGTGCCTTTGGATACACACAAACATACGTACACACCTATATAAATATATATACAAACAGTGTTTGAACTTTCTTAAAAGTTTGGTGTATCTTGCTCGAAGGTCTGAAAAGCCAAGCAAACTATAAACACATGTGTATATATATATACACGTATGGTGGGATGTATTGGTTATATTAGGGTGAACAATAGAAAATGCGTTAATTGCAGTAAGATAAAAATTGAAAAAAGTTATTCGTATTTTTTATTACAATACATTTCTATAATAATTTATATATTATATAATAATCTTTTTTTCATATTATTATATGTAACTTCATATTTAATATCTCTAGTGTAGGCTTGAGATTGCCAAGAATTTTTTACTAGAGCATAAAAGTATGTACTTATTTAAAAATTTTCCTCCGATTTTGGGTTCACTTTTTAATTTTATGACTATTTTCAATTTAAACTTTCTTATTTTATTAAAAAATATATATATATATATATTTATAATTGTTGGTTTGCAGCCGCTGAAGCGATTTTCGATCGAGCTCCTCCTCAAATTTGTGGTTTGCGTCTTGATGTTTTTCTAACAAATGGAGGGACCTACAGTTTATACTAAGCCGCCTCCGAATGGCTAAGTTTTTTTTTATGAGGAGCTTTTAATTTTCATTTCAGAAATGCACTCGGAGGGGACATTCCTTACCGAATACGACCGCCATTGGAAAATTTAACTTGATTTGTATTGCGGAATTTATGCCTAATTTTGATTTTTTAGACTTACTTATTAACCAAATAGTTAAAATAATATTAATTTGAATTAATTAACAGAGTAAATAATTTTTTTGTAAATTTTATAAATGAGTTTTGTTATCAACAAGAGATATTTAAAAAACTTTTAAATATTTTTTTATATATTTTCAGCTCTAATATTTCTGTTTAGAAAAAGTTTGGAATATTTTTTTTAAAACAAATTAAAGAAATTTTATCCCATTCTGCTTTTTATAATTTATTTCTTAATTATTATTAACTTGTTTTTGAATCAATCAATTTACTTAAAAAAATTCTATGCATCACTTTTATTGCTTTTTTTTTGTTTTTTTTTAATCCCTATGCTTTATTTTTTTATAATTTAGTTGCATAGATTTTTATTTTAATTTATCTACTCGTTGATTTAGTTACTTTTATTTATATCATATTCTTTTAATATTTTTTTTCATATATTTAGGTAGAATTATATATTTTTTTATTTCCATTGTTTATTTATTTTTGTTTAATTTTTTATTTGCTGTTTTTACTCTATAAATTTTATAATTCTTATTTTGACTTTTTTAAATTTAGTATTTATTTCCTTAACTTTAGTTTTAATTTGATTCTTTAATGTTTTA